TAATGTGTAAAACAATATCGATTGTCTATGTTATTAACTACTGTTCCTTTTCGTTTCCTAATTTGTTAAGAATGTATCATATAATATTTTGCCATAGTTTTTTTATAGGCTTGAAATTTATTGAAATTCAATTTAGTAACCCTGTGGTACAAATTACCCAACCGGTTGGCTAAATTGGACCGAAGCTCTGAACTCGTACTTTGTTGATTTGTGCTAAATATACAACAATCATGTTAATTAATACTTATGAAATAGTAAGTTGAATAATGTATCTTTTATTATATACCATGGACATTAGCAAAAACAAAAGAAAACTATGTATAAAATTGGATTGAAAAAAACTGGTCCAAATTAGCGGACTCTCCCTTATGTTGTATTGAATTAAGCTCGATCGGGTTGTAGGAAGATCCTGCTCGAAAGACCGACGACTTCAACAGGATTGCTGTAAGTGGATGAAAAAAGAAAATCGCGCCTGTTGCCGCCCTAGGCAGAATTACGTCTGGCAGTAACTACCAATAGTTTAAAATGATGATGACGACTAGGGATGAAGCGCTTTAATATTAATAAAGAAGTAACGTAGAATAAAGGCGCCAAGCAACGTGGCCACATAACGTAACGTTCTGAGGCAATTTTGTTCAGATTGCCTTTTAAACCCTCACGTTACAAAGCTGTATACTCGGTCTAGTTCGCGGCCATATTGTGAGCGATTTATAATAATAATGTCTATTTATAATAATAAAAAATATTTTTCTCTGTAAATTGAACAAGTAGGTATATTTTTAAACACCTACAACACCAGGTATTCCATTTGGGGACTACTAGAAGTTATTTGGATACAATTTAGTTTTGTCAAATTGCTACAACTAAAGTGGAAATAATAATTATTATTTTATATCTGCTTGTGTTATTGTGCATGGGTTTTCTCTTTCCTACGTCCTACGTCACTGCATTAACCGGGCGGACTTAATATAAATCAATTAATTTGGCAGCTATCGCTCATTAATTTTCATCTATTCTCTTCATTACAAACTTTCTATGTAATTTGTAACGTTCATAAAAATGGTACAAGATTTATACATAATATAGACAAAATCTACGAAGCTTGGTTGGTTCGTGAAAGTGTGAACTCTAGATTTCATAGAGTGACTCGTTCTGCATTTAATTAACCTACATATTTATAACCTTTGGAAAATAATTTCATCATAATTATACATATAGATGCTTACAAAACTTTTAGGAAACCACTATCGAACTTTTTTTTACCTTAATTGTGGTAGGTACCTTGGAAAGGTTAATTGGTCTCTTAATTAAAATTATAAAAAGAAGTCTCAAAATTAAAAGTTTCAGCCTACTTCACTGTCCAGCCTTTGAAAACTTATTAACTTGAAAAGTGGTTGAAGATCTATTGAAAGTCGGTGAACTTAAAAAAATCTTTATTCTATTCGTGGTTATTTTTTACAGTCTACTTCTATAAGATTAAGGTAGTGGTATGAAAGAAGGTATAATAAGTAGCAATCTCCTAAAATTATGCTTTAAAATTGTTTTTTTTTTTTCGTTCGTTTCAGCTGAAAGACGTCAACTGCTGGACAAAGGCGTCCTCTAAGGATTTCCACAAAGACCGGTCCTGCGCCGCTCGCATCCAGGCACCTCCCGCAACCTTCACCAGATCGTCAGTCCACCTAGTGGGAGGCCTGCCCACGTTACGTCTTCCGGCTTTTTTTTCAGTCTTTCATAATTTAACGCCTACGAAATTGGTTCTTATGTTCCTAGTTCCTACTTATAGGAATAATTTCAACTAAAGCTACGTAGCATAAACTGATACAAGTGAAGCAGCAAAAGCAGAGCAGTCGAGTCGCATTAAACAAATAACAATCGAATGCGATAGCAAATAAGGTGCATATTTTATGTCGACTCGACAAAGTGCGCTGGTTCCTTAACAAAGAAAAATGTACCTTGGTCATATCGCATACGGTTCTGTTTTGCTTGCTCGCTTCTCTTCTCGCTAAGGTGGGTAGACGTAAGCTTACTGTATACTGTATACATACATTGTACTTGGTATTGAAGACACATACCCCCAAGAATTTAAGCAGCCGGTACATGCTCGATTGTTTTCATTTACATAGTTTGGGAATCCCTAAAGTTTCAACGAATTTCCTACAATCCCGACATCTGTTGCGAGTTTTTCTGATCTCCTTAAATTGATTTTGGGTCAAATGACTAAGTGATTTGCATGAGTATGGAGCTCCAACATTGGTCGGTGCCTTTGGGGACTGATATTACTTCACATGCTTTTACGTCATATGCATGTATGTAGTACCATAACTTACAAGTAGGTACGTACAATCGACAACAGTTTTAACTATCCATTGCCTGTCATGTCGTCTCGTTCTATCGCAAAGAATCACCATTAATTTGATGAGAGCGAGAGCGTGTACGTCGCTGACGTAGCCAGACAGATTGGCAAGCTGAAGTGGCAATGGGTAGAGAACATACAATCACGTAGAAGTGACGGCCGAGATGGGGCAGTCAGGTTCTGGAATGGAGGCCACGCAGCGTGTGTCCACCCATAAGGTGAATAGACGACCTCATAGAGGCAGCGGGAAGACGCTGGATATAAGCAGCTATCTGGCAACGTAGAAATCATCGGGGAAGGCCTATGTTCAGCAGTAGAAATTTCTGTGTCTGAAATGATGACGATGATAAAGTATCTACACTAGCTTAGTAGTAAATAGGCACACACAGGGCAGAAATGTACCATCCTAGACTGCATCTCACTTTACATCAGTGTGCCTACCATGAGTTTACGTTAGGTGTGCTCGCTAGCGACTGCGTAAAAAAATGACATTTAAATGTATGACATATTGTGCAGCGCCCCTAGTGGCTACTTTCAAGAAATAAGACCTTCATAGAATTTTTTGACGTATTCGCTAGCGAACTCACCTAACGTAAACTCATGGTAGGCACACAGGTGCGATGGCGGTCAAATAAGGATTTTTTTTTAGTCACGAACTGCTTATTTCAAAAGCCAGTCACTCAATGTTTCATCCATAGGACGTCCACTGCTGAACATAGGCCTCCCCCAATGCTTTCCATGTTGATCGATTGGTAGCGGGCTGCCTCCAGCGCTTCCCTACTACCTTTACGATGTCGTCGATCCACCTTATAAGTGGACGTCTCACGCTGCGTTTTCCGGTACGCGGCCTCCATTCCAGAACCTTTCTGCCCCCTGGGCCGTCAGTTCTCCGTACTATGTGCCCTGCGTATTGCCACTTCAGCTTGCTAATCCGTCTAACTCAATGTTTAATCCCTTCGAAATAAGTCTGATTTATTAGTCCAAGAATAAAATCCTCTCGTGTTACCTGGTTTAGTCCAAGAATAGCGAGTGTCCGCGAATAGAGAGGCCACGTCCCACCGAGCTGTTCCAGAGCTTGAGGTCAAACAATCGATCTGTCTGACGGTCTAGCTCGGTGCCACAGTATAAGAAAACAGTATTATAAAAGCTCGGAGGGGACAGACGCCTGCTAAAGCTTGCCTTTCGAACTAAGCGTCACAGACGCAGCGTCTTTAACTTTGGTCTTGAGCCACCAACGCCACGTCACTAACTCGCTTCGAAAGGCTACCTGTAAGACCAAAGCTAAAGACGCTGCGTCTGTGACGCTTAGTTCGAAAGGCTACCTTTAAGTTGGCGCCGGAGACACAATGGGCAAGGTAAGGACCATTCAAGGAGATTCGCAAAAGATAACTAATAAGATTAATAACTTATGAGTCAAGTAGCTACACGTTAAAGTAATGAATTTCCAAGTAAGTGTGTACGCACAAACGATGGTATATTAAGGACTGTGGAACTTTTTTAATAGGAAAAGTGATATTTTGCAACAAAAATCTAAAAGTAGGCTGTTTTCAAGAGCTTCAACAAGTATTCCTGTATCCGAAATACAGCAGAATAGATTTAACACTATTTCTTCTAGCACTACAACTTCTGAGTAATTATAGAGAGTCGTACAGCTCGATAACTTCAAAAGAGATTTAGTTTTCCTATGGGTCACTTTAAAATTAGGGATTGATGGTGAAAACAGACATAAGTATCATAAAAAAATCACACTATTGCTGTCCTCAACTCCTCGTGAACCAGTGCTTGGGATGGTCTACTGTTTTCACTTTATTATGGCCAAGCCTTTTACAAGCATTTTCCACCGGATTTGAGAGTATCAATCTACGATGGCTTTGCGATAACATTGACATTCCGTTTCAGGGTTCATATCTCCCCATTGTGACGATAAGTCAAAGTTAAAATTCCTTTATTTGCATGGACTATTAAAAATGGTGCTTTTACAAATCGTCAAATATTAGTAAAAAATAAAAGAATAATAATAAAAAATACTTTAAAAGTCTTGCTCTTATGGAGCCTTCACATGTATCACAATCTTTTTGCCCTACCAGCGCTTCGAGACCAACATTTGGCAAGTGCTGAGAAGAAGCGCCGCAACAAACTCAGTCACCACTGTCTGTCGGATAGAAGAACATTCGCAAACAAGTATGTCTGTATTTTCGATAGACCTTAGTATTTGGTTTATAGTGCTTTATATTTTCCACGAAAGGGCAAATTTGTAAACCGTTCAAAAAATTACATTATTTTTGTGTTGCATTAAGTTGGCAAACTAATTAACTGGTTTTAAACTGAAAACTTCTCGAGTGGCGACCTCGAGCTGGAAGACGTGAGCAGGCCTCCCACTAGGTAGACTCACGATCTGGTGATGGTCGCGATACTCGTACAGTCATTGTGGAAATCCTTGGGGGAGGCCTTTGTCCAGCAGTGGACGTCATTTTTGTTGGCTTAAACCAAGACTGACCTACCTACAGTGTGACATAATTTTTAGAGGTTTGATAATATTTTTGACTTAGTCATATAATACGGACTCCTCTGTACGTAATGTTCTCTTACTTGGCAAGTTGATAAAACCAGAGATACATTGTGAAATTAAAATGCAAACCCTTTTCAGGGCCATTCTAACCCTAGTTTGCAACAGGATCAAGTCTGGTGGACGTAGCAATATCGATAATAATATCTAGATATCTAGCGATGTCCCTATTTTCGGTAGATAAGAGAGGCGAATAAAGCCTAAAATATGGCACAAAAGACAATAATCTTGGTGAATTAATGAATAGTGGACATTATGGTAACAGTGAGCCCAGCGTTATTCCTATTATTTGTAACTATTTATTCTTATATCAATATACTTGTTATAGTTCTTGCAACTCACGAAGGCGAGTGAGCTTTACTTGTGTGTACGTGTACATGCACATAACGATAGTGTAATGTCTACCTAAACTTTTGAAAGAAGAACAGCAGCGAGCCACCACATATGTAAAGCTCTTTCGCCTTTGTGAATTGCAACAACTATAAGCTAGAATAAAAGAGGCTACCAATCAGTGAAAGTATTTGTTCTAATTAGATCACAATAAAATACATGAGCACTAACCTGCACTTTCCTTTCCCGTTCAGTATTTTCGTCTCCAGCAGCAAAAATCACTTCATTTACACACACACACACACACACACACACTAACTAACTTCACCTCGAGACGTCTTGTCACGACGGAGGTTGGATAGAGACTGATTAATCGATACTCGAATTGTCATAAAGTGAACGAACGAATGATCTTGAGTGAGTGAGAATGAACGATTGTAATAAATGGATTGTAATCTTAATCAAACGTCGTTCAATAATTATCCGAAAGGTATTTTTTCTTATTTTTTTTTTTTTGAAAAATATCAATAAAATATTTTATGTAAAAACATATTTTTATGAAAAAATATGACACTTACATCTCGATCGAGCTAACTGCGCATCTCGCTGGAATACGACTCACTATTAATTTGCCCCAATGAAGGAACCCACGGCTGGTAACGAAGTCCGTCAAAAGCTTTTGTTTTTGTTGTTTCATCATTCTATTGAAGGAAGAAAAGAGACAAAATACCTTCACTAGAGATCCCATATGCAAAATGGACTAACACGACTGCCTTTGAGTCGTTCCCTCAGGATCGATTAGAATGGAATCATTCGATTCCAACACGCCAGGGACTCGAGCGAGTTACGTCGCAGTATTCACTACAGGTCTAGCATTTAACCCATTCAGTGCCTGAGGCATGGTCAGACACGCCAGGATTAACTCATTCCAAAGCTCTCATAAAAGCCTATGACCGAAAGTGCTCTAAGCACTGAAAGGACTGAGTAGGATCAAAATGCGCATCTTAGTTCGAGCCCTCACTGGACACTGCAGCTTAAACAAGCACTTGTCCACTATAGGACTGTCCGAATCAAGAACGTGCAGGATGTGCCAAGAGGCAGATGAAACGCCACAACACATTCTCACGGGCTGCGGACCTTTGATGCAGAAGCGGAGCTTACACCTGGGCAAACACATCCTAAGCCCACAAGATGTGAATGTTTGTTGTCGACATGAACAGAAGAAGAATTAGATGTAAAACATATCGCCCCCCAAAAGATACTGCTGGATGCAGGACTCGGAGGCGAATTGTAAGGAAAATAGCGGCGGCCACAATAGATCGGTACCGGTCGCAGTGATACTAGGACTTTATTGAACTAGAATAGCCGCTCAACTCAAATAAAAAAAAAACATGGGAGCGGTACGGGAGAGTGTTTCTGAGAAGTCAAACGTCAGTGAGACTAGATTTGTATGCTTTATCACAGCGGTTCCCGAAAGGTGGTCGCAAGGGTTCCGTAAAAAATATTATCCCACGTTTCGTGACCGACGTTGTTCGCGCGCACCGACTTGTTTACAAATAATTGCATAAAAACTTTATTGTTTTTCATTTAAATTTCCAGTTATCAAAGTAGGGTTCCGCTAGGAAAAGTATAATCAATTAGGGCAAAAAAAAATTGGGAAACCCTGCTCTATTATATTGTCATAATATTTTATATAAATTTCACCATTCCCGTACCGCTGCCATACCTCAGGCATTGACTCAATTAAACGCGACAGACCTTTAAAAATTCCTAGCAACGTGTCCATAACCACGCTATGTGCCATTTCACATTGTTCCAATATTGATAGCTACGATGTACAGAAATAACTAGGTTTGCGTGAGTACCCACGCTATTTCATTCTCAAAGTGTTTTTTTATTTTTATTTATTTATTTAGGTACAGCAACAGAATACAAATTAGTTTTTACAAATAATTTAGACAATAAAAAGGTACATCAAATAAATTTGCACTCCAGTTATAGCTATACACGACATTTGCTTAGTACATGACACGACTGTTTAGCTTAATCTTATACAAAAATAGTTCCAAAACAAAAACTTCACAGATAAATGGCTCTATTATAACTTACACTTGCATATCTTTAAGTAAGATGAATAAGACTGCGAAAACAGGTCCACTTCCTTACTCAAGCCATTGTAGGCTCTGCACATTCGATAGACGGGGTCGTTGTGTTAGTTTACACCTTATGACTCAAGAACGGCTGGACTGATTTTAATGGTTTTTAATTTGTTAGATTTTTCCAATAGATAACTGTCAAAATATCACAAAAAATATCATGGATATTTAAAGACAGCTGATGTCATCACCAGCATCATTTCAGCCATAGGACGTCCACTGCGGATTTTAACGAAACTTGGTACAATTATTCTTCATACTCCTATGCAGGTTATAGGATACTTAGGAATTCCCACGGTACCGGGAATTAGCGGGAAAATCCTTTTGTATGAAAAATCTAAACTACTCAAGTTAGACGCTTGAAATTTGGCATGCAGGTACCTTAAAACTTAAAGCTTAGTTACAACAGGATATTGCAAAATTCCCACGGGAACGGGAGTAAGCGGGAAAAAACATTTGTATGAAAAATCTAAACCCCTTAAGTTAGACGCTTGAAATTTGGCATGCAGGTACCTTAGTAAACTCAAAGCTTAGTTGCTACAGGATATTGCAAAATTCCCATGGGAACGGGAGTTAGTGGGAAAAAACATTTGTATGAAAAAATCTAAACCGCGTAAGATAGACCCTTGAAATTTGGCATGAAGGTACCTTAGTAAACTTAAAGCTTAGTTACAACAGGATATTGCAAAATTCTCACGGGATCGGGAGTTAGCGGGAAAAAACATTTGTATGTAAAAATCTAAACCGCGTAAGATAGACGCTTGAAATTTGGCATGCAGGTATCTTAGTAAACTTAAAGCTTAGTTACAACAGGATATTGCAAAATTCCCACGGGAACGGGAGTAAGCGGGAAAAAACATTTGTATGAAAAATCTAAACCCCTTAAGTTAGACGCTTGAAATTTGGCATGCAGGTACCTTAGTAAACTTAAAGCTTAGTTGCTACAGGATATTGCAAAATTCCCACGGGAACGGGAGTTAGCGGGAAAAAAAATTGTATGAAAAAATCTGAACCGCGTAAGATAGATGAAGGGGGGGTAAAACAAGATCCACGCGTACGAAGTCGCGGGCGGCCGCTAGTTGACAATATATTTTCTTCAGTCTATTTTTCTACTCATAATATTAATAAATGTTACCTACATAAAATTAGAACAAAGCCTATAGAGATCTATTTACGCCCGTATTCACAAACATTACTATGAGGTCTCACAGTGCGCGTGGACGCACATGGTGACACACGAAACAATCACAGAGCTCTATTCAACGCTGTGCGTTCGATTTTCTGCTTCACTTAAGCAAGTATCGTTTGTGAATACGGGTGATAGGCTTACTACTTAGATAAGTATAGGTGCAATTAACCGAAAATATCCGCCAACGAACACACCCCAAAGATGTATGATAATTTCTTAACTAATTAATTAAAGAAGCTAATTATGGGTAGGCTGAAAAGACTCATTTGCAAGAGCGACTTTATATTTAGGTATTTTGTAAATGCTTACAAAAGACATTTCAATTTAATAATTATTTTTAGTCGACAAAGATAATTCGTTCGTTCGTTTCAGCCAAATGACAACTGCTGGACAAAGGCCTCCTCCAAGGTTTTCCACAATGAACGGTCCTGCGCTGCCCGCATCCAGGCTCTTCCCGCGACCTTCACCAGATCGTCGGTCCACCTAGAAGGAGGCCTGCCCACGCAACTTCTTCCAGCCCGTGGTCGCCACTCGAGAACTTTTAATAGATATTATAAACACTAAACTTATTTTTCGTAAAGCGGTTGCTTTAAATGCTCGTACGTATTTCTTTATGGCAAGAGAATGAGGAGAAAATAATGAAGAAATATTGAATATTGTCAAATATTTCTTCATTATTATTGATAATAATATAATCAAGCCACGTCCATTTATTTAAAATTTATATTCCATTGTAATGCTAAAGTGGTTCTGCCAAGCTTTGTTTCGCCTAAAACTCGGGCTTAAGCCTAGACACACTACACACATTTCGCACCCTTCCTGGAATAAGTACGCAAGTGAAAAATGCCAACTTTTCAGGAGCGTAAAAAAACTGTCCTAAAAATTTATTACCATTATTAAAAATATGTGTTATACATCAAAAGATAGCTAAGAATGTCTGTGAGGGGCCTATGTATTTATATTTAAAATACACTTAATAGGTTTTGAGAAAAACTTAAAAAAGAGCGTTGCGTACTTATTCCGCGAAACATATTTAACACCTTGTTGTTGTAATTATGAATATTGCATTGTTGACATGTAAAGGAATACATGCTGTTTGGTATTATTGCAGATAACCACTTATTGGCGTTCAGATTTAGTCGTGCATTCAACGTGTAAGTGTAGTTTACGTAGTTTTTCCTCGAACTATTCGTATTGAAGTAAATTCGTAAAAAGGATAACGTACTTTTACCTTGTGAAAAATTACATTACTTATGGTTGTATTTAAAATTATAGCTTTATTCAAAATTAAAAAGTTACAATAATTTTGCATAACTATATTATAATTTTCAGAAATTGCATTTTTAGGGAGAGACGAGCTATCAAAAGGACTAATGCCCGTTTTCACCATCAATCCATAATTTGTAAGTGACCTCTA